TTCCTTCCTTCCTTCCTTCCTTCTTTCTTCTTTCCTCCTCCTCCTCCTTTTTCTTCTTTCTTCTTCTTCGTGCTTAGTTGGAGATAAGAGTCTCAAGGACTTTCCTCACTGGGCTGGCATTGAACTGTGAGCCTCAGATCTCAGCTTCCTGAGTAACTAGGATCACGGGTGTGAACCATTGGTGCCCAGTTACCCCAGTTATCTTTTAAGGGTTAGCTTTGAGTTCCAGATATATTACACAAACTGCTTGGTGATCTATCTATCTATCTATCTATCTATCTATCTCACTTAATTCTGACATCAATCTGGCAAGGTTGCTGTTATTTCCATTTTGTAGATGAAGAACTTAATGCAAGGAGGCTAAATAATTTTCTAAAGTTACATGTAGTATGTGGCAGTGTGAAATGAAGTGAATACTCTTTTGGTTCCCTTGTATTATTCATCTATAATACTGTGATTCTGATTTTATTTTAATGATAATAAATTCTGAACTGCTGAAAATAAAGCAACAAATTGCTCTTGTGGTACTGGGGACTGAACCGTAGGCCTTGTGCCTGCTAGACATGTGTTCTGCCACTGAATTACATCCCCAGCCTAATGGATTGTTCTTGGATCTTAACAACATATTGTTTGGAATTAATAACAATCTTTTAAAAAGTTCATTTTATTTTTTTGCTTATGTGCTACCAAGGAATTGAACCTAGTAACTAGGATTTTAGGCATGAGCCTTTGGCATACAACTAAAACATTTTTTAATAGCATTCTAGGAAGCCAGGAGTCAATAAATAAATGTGTGAATGAACCTGTATGCTTTTTTTTTTCCACATTAGTCAAAAATATTTTCCCACATGATAGATGATACAATATATTTTTGCTTTCTAGGAGCTTATGGTATAAAAGAAAATAGAAAAAATACAGGTATCAGTGCATATAGAAATAAATATAGTTGTTTAAAGACTCCTACTCTTATTTATGTGCAGTGAAGGAACATATTGGTTAATTATGAATTGAAGTGTGGATATTTTTTGGGTAGAAGAATTTGCTAGGCAATGAGAAGTTTCATATTAATTTAGTTTTGGGATGGGAATTACTTATGGCTCTTACAGAAAAGATTAGCAGGAACTTAAGCTGCTTTGTAGTATGGTGGTAGGTTGGGGGATAAATGGGAGTAAAGTAGCTTAGAAGTAGCAAATTTTAAAATATTTTTAGAAAATGAGAAGGTTGAACCTAAGAAATTGATACGTTATATGATACTTTAGTTCAAACACTTGGAATATACAGGTGAAAGGAGCAGTTTTTCAGTGGAATTTTTAAATAGCAGTCAGGGGCAACTTCTTTCCAGGTAAACTAACAGGGATTTTCTACAATTAGTGATTATAGAGGTTTGCATCTCCAAGTGTTATTCATCAACCAAGAAGTTTTCAGAAAGAGTCATAATACTTATGTCATAGTTAGATATATTTACATTTGTTTTTCAGCCCTCCATTAGAAAGTGTATCTTGTTTAACTGTTGAACTTTTCAAATGTCTGAGTAGGTATTAGACATTCTAGAACCTTCTGCCTGCATTTATATGCCAGTCTAGTATAGTATTATATGTACAAATCCAATGCCAACTTCTCTTTCTCATTTGTTGTTCTGGCATGTGAAATGTTCTCAGCAAATTCTAGCATATTTTGAAGGCCTGTTATGTACTTGAGAAAAATATGCCATACTAATTATTACTAATTATATTTGTGTTTTTGAGAATGACTGATAATCCTATGTACAGGATGTTTTCGTATGCTAAATCCTAGCAGCATTAAAGAATATTGGGAATATAAGATAGACTATGTAGAGAGGTCATTAGAAGAAAAAGAAGGCATTGTTTTCCTTTCTAGTTTTAGAATATTGAAAAAAATGATACCAGTAGATTATCCCTGAAGATATTAGAGAAAGTTTTTCCTAAAAGTACTGAAGTTGGAACATTTGATTCATGCTTGAACTCTTAGAAAAAGCAATAAATACAAATAAAAACAACACTTAAATTTTTTTTTCAGTTGTGGTAATTAAGAATATCCTAATCATGAGATTCATAAATAGTTGCCAAGATGGTAAGCCAAGATCTTGGCACCATCTGATGCTGTTCATTGTTAGTGGGCTACATTAATTGGTTTATGATTAAGTCACCTGGCTCACTTCTTAGTTCTTTTCTGCATTTAAATTCACTGACTAAAATGGTATCATAGAAGGAAAATTAGCTCTAAACACTGCATTTCCATTTCTATAGTTTCATTTTTTTCCCTTTAGAGCTCTTATTTTCTTAGGTTTCTAAACTATATTCCTTACATCTGTCAGTTGACTGGGATGACAAAATAGAAAATATGGCATATTTATCTTCCAGATATAATAAAAATCATTTGATGCATTTTGTAACTGTTTTTGGTCTAACTCAGCTAAATTGAAGAGAAATGTAGCTTTGTTTTATCTAGACAGCTTTTAGGTCTAACATGTCAGCCATATGTCATTCAGTTGTCTCTTCAGTGTGACCTTTATTCCCCCCCCCCCCCCCCCCTTGTGTAATTTGTACTCTATAATTTTCTATTTGGACTGATGTGATAAACATTTTTTGGTAGCAAACTTGTCTCCTCATTAAAACAAAACACAGCTCCTATTCCAGAAGAGATACTGATGTCAAGTAACTATATGAAAAAACATTCCACAACATAATTTATCAGAGAAAAGAACATTAAAATGATAAAACATATACACCTGCTAGTATGTTCTTCCAGAGCAACAACAATAGATACCCATGAGCTGTGGAGCAAGAGGAATTCTCATTCATTGCCAGTAGGAACTCATACTAGTACAGCCACCTTGGAAGTCAACTTGGTAGTTTCTTGAGAATTAGTTACAGTCTGCCATACAGTCTAGCAATTGCATTTCTGGGTGTTTATCCCAAAGTCAGGAAACCATATCCATGCAAATACTTGGATATTGATATTTTGTATCAACTTTATTGTAAGTGCAGAATTTGGAAGCACGGAGTGGATAGAAAGAAACCGAGGCATATCCAGACTGTGCACTATTACTTAGTGCTAAAAAGAAAATGAGCTATCAAGCCATGATAGCCATGTGGTGGAATCTTAATGGGCATTTTACTAATTGAAAGAAGCCAAAATGAAAAAAACTACACACAGATGATTCAAATTATATGACATCCTGGAAAAGGCTAGTTGAGATAGTAAAAAGATGAGCAGTTGCCAGGGTGAGGGGAATGAGGACCAAGCATGTTAAGCACAGGAGATTTGGGGTACAGTGATGCTGTTCGATATGCTATCATAATAGCTACATGTTACATTTACTCAAACCCATAAAATATGCAATACCACAAATGAACTTTAGTGTAAATTATTGACTTGGCTTATAACAATGTGACAGTGTAATATGATGTGATATTAATAGCATCATTTATAATGAAGTCCATTAAAAAGTAAAATTGAGCTCTAGCCTTGAGCATGAAAACTTAGGGACAGTGCCTAGGCCCTGAGTTCAAGCCCCCAGCAAAAGAACAAAAAAGTAAAAGTAAAATTTGGGCTACAGAAGAATAAGGAGCTTATTTCTTTCTAGAAAAAGATGTTTAAGAAAACAGAATTACAAGCATTATCTCTATTTAAAAATATTGGTATAGTATAATTTGCATAAGCTGAAATGCATACTGAAACAAAACAAAAATATGGATTACTACTCTTAGTCCTTATAACTATATTGCTATAGTCTTATTACTATGCAGAGGTCCAGTTAATCACCCTACAAAGATGAGTCACTGTGTTAAAGCACAAATAGGAGATATAGTCTATATATTATGTAGTACAGATAAATACAATTATGTGTTTTTTCTCGCTAAAATGTGATTATGAGAAAGAATTTGTGCTGTATAAAATATAAGCTAATTCCTTAATATTTTTTCCTGTGACATTTTTCCTCATGGCACTCTTCTGTTTTCTTTTGCTGTGTTTCCATCTGGGGATAGAATGGAGGGTTAGGTACATGCTAGGCAGGTACTCTACCGTGATCTACAGTCTTAATTGGAGGTATTGTCTTACTTAAAAACCATCAGTGGCTTCTTTTAGAATCTTTTCACTGATGTCTGTCATGCTTCACTGACAGCCCCAGGCTGTCTTTACAGATTTATATCCTATTGCTACTCCACCAACACTTCTAGTGTTTTCTTCTGTCCCTCAGGAGGTACTGTGGGCTAGTGGGAGAATAGTTCTTGGTTGTGTACCTCTTGCCTGTGCATTGTAGTTAATGTTCCTGCCCCTCTCCCATCCAGTACCTACCAGTAGTAGTTGGGAGGGCTTGAAAAGAAGAGGAAGAAGAGAGCAGACCTAAGTTCTTCCAATTGAAAATGCCTTTGCTCGACAAATTGTGTTTTTTGTGGGTTCCACTTGAATTTGTTTTCGTTGTTCTTTTTTTCTGTATACACTTACTAAAGTCTAGTTCTTTTTCATCAGGCCAATTGCTTACATGTAAGAGTCAGGCACATCATTTATTAGTTACCCCATTGTAATAATGTTCATATATATAGTGATATAACTATGTTGGAAAGAGGAACAATCAAATTAAAACCTATGATCTCATGATTGACTTACAGTTTGGAAATTAATAAGGAAACAAAGAAATAGATAATGTAGTATTCTGATAGAGTCCTATGAAGAAAAATCAAATAGAGAGTAAAGGAGAAGGTTAGTTTAGGAGGAACAGAGTTAGAATGAAAGGTGTTTGTTTACCATGGATGTATTTAAGAAAAAAGAGCTTTGCAAACAGAGGAAACTGCAAGTAGGATTATTTATTTTTAGTCAGTTGTGTTCATACATTATATTTTTTTCATTTTGATATTTCAAGCTTCTTAGTCTGAAGTTTAATTTTATTGCATTTTTCTTCCTTTTAAAATGCCTCATTTTACTATAGCTTGCGTTTTGGTGTGGCAAGTTAGTAATTGTTGTTTGTTTTATTTTAGATCCCTGCATGTCACTGAATCCACCATGCTTCACAGAAGAAGATAGATTTAGTCTGGAAGCTCTTCAGACGATCCATAAACAAATGGATGATGACAAAGATGGTGGAATTGAAGTAGATGAGAGTGATGAAGTAGGTGGAAAGCTTTTCCCTGTGTTTTCTTACAAGAGACTCACTGTGTTGCTAGTCTTGTTTTCCTTTTGCTTCTCATGACTCAGCTTACAAGCCTTTAGTATCTTAAGCTTTTTTCTTTCCTTTTCCTTTTATTTTTGGGTGATTATGGGGTTTAACTTAGGGCCTCACGACTTCTACTAGGACTCTGAACCATTTTTAGCATTAGTTTTTCTTAGATAGGGTTTTGTGTTTTTGCCTGTGGCTGGCCTCAATGTGTATGCCTCCCTTGTCTCTGGGGTTAAAGAAATGATCCACTATACTTGCTTGTTTGTGGAGAGAAAGTCTTGATAACTTTTTTTATTTTCTGGCATAGAACTCTGATTTAGTGTCTACTTACTGAGAAGCTGGGATTACAGAACTGGGATTACAGATGTACACTGCCATGCCCAGCCCTTTTTATTTCCTTTGTTCTCTTTTTATGCTTTAATTTTACCCTCAATATTTAAATAGCTTTCTTTTTTTAAAATGTCTATTTATATACAAGGCTTGTCAGTTTTTTTTCTTGTTTCTTTTTTAAGACTGGTGTCTTGATATATTATCTAGTTTGTTCTCAAACTCTTGAGTTCAAGAGATCTTCCTACCTTAGTCTGCTGAATAGCTTTGTAGGATACTACCATGTCTGGTTCTTCCCAGGTATAAAAATACCATCGGTGTCATACGGATTTCTTTTTTTTTTTTAATTTTCTCTTTTTGTTGGTCATGGGGCTTGAACTCTGGGCCTTGGCACTGTCTGTCAGCTCTTACGCTCAAGGCAAGCACTCTACCACTTGAGCTCTACAGTGCCACTTCCAGTTTTCTGGTGGTTTATTGGAGATAAGTCTCATGGACTTTCCTGCCCTGTCTGTCTCTGAGCTGTGATCTGAGGATCACAGCCTTCGGAGTAGCTAGGATTACAGGCGTGAGCCCCTGGTGCCCAATACTCTGGGATTTCTTAAACACATATCCTGTTCTGACTGTGTCAGTTATGTACTGTTGCTTTACAGACAACCCATAATATAACATAATGACAACAGTTTATTGTTTCTTTAATTCTGTGAATTGGCTGTGTTCAGCTGGACAGTTTTTCTGTTCATGTAGAAATGGGCTGAGGTCATTAATGGCAATCAGCATTCATTTGTGAGGGCTGGGACTGTATAACCTAAGATATCCTTCTAACCAGCATGATATCTCCTTCTGTGCCTCTCATCATTCAGGAGCCTGGCTTGAGCTTTATTATAGCCTGACAGCTGGCTTCCAAGTACTGGTATTACAAGAAGATGAGTTCCTATGCACTAGTGCTTACAAGACTTCTGCTTGCCAATGCTTGCTAATATCAGATTGGTGAAAAGCGAGGCAATTGGCTAAGCTCAGAATCTGTGAGAGAGGATTGTACATGACAGAGACAACTGGGAGAGACACTTTACTGATTTACTAATTTACTATACCTGCTGTCTTTAGTTCTTTTTTCTTTGTCGGTCATGGAGCTTGAACTGTGGGCCTGGGCGCTATTCCTAAGCTCTTCAGCTCAAGGCTAATGTTCTACCACTTGAGCCACAGTGCCACTTCCAGTTTTGTGAGTGGTTTATTGGAGATAAGAGTCTCATGGACTTTCCCACCTGGGCTGGCTTTGAACCGTGATCCTCAGATCTCAGCCTCCTGAGTAGCTAGGATTACAGATGTGAGCCAACACCCGGCCTGTCTTTAGTTCTTAAATATTCCTATCATTTTCCTGGTATTTCCAAAGTTCTTAGTTTCTTCATAGAAGTTGTTTTCTTTATTTGTTCGTGGTCTCATTTTAATCAATTAGAACTTTTAAGGCCTTCCTTTTTAATTTCTTTGTTGTGTTTGTCAGTTGACATGCTTCATGTATAGTAAATTACATTATCTCCTGTATTATATAATGTGATATGGCAGTGATACCCTCTAATAACATTGTTTTCTAACAGTGTTATTACAATAAATAATAAATTGTTGTTAAACAATAATATTCTTTTTTTTTTTTTTTTGTTGGTCATGTGGCGTGATCTCTCAGCCTGGGGGCTGTCCCTGTGCTCTTCAGCTCAAGGCGAGCACTCTGTCACTTGCACCACAATGCCACTTCTGGTTTTCTGGTGGTTAATTGGAGATAAGAGTCTCAGTCTCATGGACTTTCCTGCCCAGGCTGGCTTTGACCATAATCCTCAGATCTCAGCCTCCTGAGTAGCTAGGATTACAGGTGTAATCTGGGCACCACCAGCACCCAGCAGCAATAATATTCCTTAAAGATAAATTCTTGATCTGCTGTGCAAAGTATTTGTTTTGGGAATGCCTGTCTGGTTTCCGGTTACTCCTGATTCTTGTATCTCTAAGCCAGTTTGTATGATCTACATGTATTACTTTCTTCCTGATACTTATTTTTTATTATGTTTAAGTAATTATCCAAGAGTTGGCCATTTAACAAAGCAGTTTATGTATACAGTGCATCTTGATCAGTGTCACCCTTGATATATATATATTTTTTTAAAGTTTTGTCAGTGGGTACCTGACAAATTTCAACATTCTTGTTTTTTTTTTTGGGTCCGGTCATGGGGCCTGAACTCTGGGCCTGGGCACTGTCCCTCAGCTCTTTCAGCTCAAGGCTAGTGCTCTACCACTTGAGCCACAGCGCCACTTCCGGCTTTTTTTCTTTTTGCTTATGTGGTGCTGAGGAATCGAACCCAGGGCCTCGAGCATGCAAGGCAAGCACTCTACCACTGAGCCACTTTCCCAGCCCCACCCTTGATATTTTTGAAGACTCTTTCTGTTGCTTTAAATTTAGTATGGGGGGCTGGGAAGGTGGCTCAGTGGTAGAGTGCTTGCCTTGCATGCATGAGGCCCTGGGTTCGATTCCTCAGCACCACATAAGCAAAAAAGAAAAAAGCCGGAAGTGGCACTGTGGCTCAAGTGGTAGAGTGTTAGCTTTGAGCTGAAGAGCTGAGGGACAGCGCCCAGGCCCAGAGTTCAGGCCCCACGACCGGACCCCCCTCCCCCCCCGCAAAAAAATAAATTTAGTATGGTTAAAGCTCTTTCATTTTAGATTTCTTACTGTTCAATATCACTTCTGCACCTATGTCTCCTCAATTCTTCTAAATTAGGAGTGAACAGACTTTCTCTATAAAGGGGTGAACAGATTGAAATGTGTCTTTCAAAAACATATGTTTTGGAAACATAATCCCCAGTACCATAAGATATGCCTCTTGGAAGTAGGGTTAATGCCTGTGCTAGAGAAATGCTCAGAGAACTACGCTGGCAATGTAGCCATGTCTAATTTGTGCCTTTATAACAGAATTTTACAGACTGGGTAATCTATAATGGACACCTTACAGTTTTGGAGGCTAGGATGTTCAGTACCAAGGTACCAGTAAGTTTGATGATTCTGGTCCCACGATGGCTCCCTGAATGCTGTGTCTTTTGGAGAGGAGGGACACTTTGATTACATGGCAGATGAGACTAAAGGGATAAACTTTGGCCTTTTATAATGACATCCTTTCCACTCATGAAGGTAAGGCCATTGTGGTCTATTACCCCCCAACATCCTATTTTCTTTTTTTTTGGGTCCGGTTGTGGGCCTGAACTCTGGGCCTAGGCGCTGTCTCTCAGCTCTTCAGCTCAAGGCTAGCATCCACTTGTTCCTCAAAGCAAACAGTATAGTACCTAAAAACTTTTTACCCTACCATTTTTTATCATTCAGTCTGTTTTACTTCTACTTTCACAATTCTGTTTCATTATAATGGGTTCTGCTTTTGTTAGACTGTCTAAGTCATAGCATATTAGAGTCCCCATTAGTACATTATAGTTCAGTTTCATGTTTTTCTAGTGGAGTAGGAATTTAAGCGTCACAGTATAAATTTTATAGAACGATGTACTTAAAATGCTAAATATACTCTTAAATACAACCTAGTAAAAAACTGGAAGAGTGGCTGATGTAGTCTAAGATGAGTCTGGAAAGAACTAAACATTTGTGACTTTGTTTAATAGTGGCACTGAGCAAGATGTCTAACTTAGTGCCTTTGGCTGTTTTGGGGTGGGGATATTATTGAAACGCCTGCTTCAACTGGTTAATCTTTTTTTAAACCCCTTCTCACAAATTCTGTTTACTTTAGAATGCATGTAAATTACACATTTTCATTAAAAATAATTTCTCATTCTTGTGCCATTAATTTCTAATTTGCTTTCACGGCATTTTATATGCAACATTGTTACAGACTGGAAGGGGGCAGAAGAGTAGGAGTGTGAATCAGGATGGTGCATCTGGACTTCTTCATTTCTAGCCTGACTGTACTGCCAGTCCTGCTCTTCTCCCCCTCCTTCCCTGAGCATTTTCAGGATCACAGCATGGCATTGCATTTATGTAATGTATTTTTTGAGAGCTTAGCACATTCACATCTTGTCTCATCTTCTAAAAGATGTCTGAAATCGAGTGTCTACAGAACCTGTCCCCATTTCACAGACAAATTAATTGTGTCTTACTGTACCATTAATACTGTTAATCTTATAGAAGTGCTATTATAAATAGGCAACATAATTAATTCATTGTCTAAAGTGGCCTACTTTGGAGAGTTGGTGAAGGTGCTATTAATAATTACAGTAAGACAACATGCCTATCTGTCACAGGCCCAGGGGGCCATGGAATTACCTTCACTGTGTGGCATATCTTAGTCTGCTTTGTATTGTGTTAAATTGATCTAAGCATTATGCCAAGATCTGTATTATTAGTGAGGCTTATATCTATTTCATTATAATTCATCACTGAGTCTTCTCATACTGTATAGCTTTTTTCCTAGTAACACGTCAGATGCACTCAAACTGTTTTATTTATTTTTCTTTCTTTAATGTTACGTGATTTTTCTTCCCTAAAAATCATATAACTGGAAAATATTTTCTATATTTAAATATACTGATGTTTTCATTGATTTTCATTTTCTTTGAGTTTAGAATTTTTTTTAGCAACTTTTTTTTTT